CCTTTCTGATTACGGGAGCTAACGCGGTAGCCAGCGTTGCTGAATTAGCAACTGGGCCGGTATTAACCAGACAAAACAGAAGGGATGTAAATCTTTTTGATGTGTGTGGCTGAGCAGAAGAAAGGTTTCCTGCTCAGCACCAGCAAAGTTCAAAGGTCAAATTCACAAGCAGGTGGTGGAACGAACCAAAGTTTGAACTTGAACTTTACTTTTCCAGCCGTCGTTACTCCCAAGCCGACCCAGAGGTGGCCGAGCTCCTGCCATCTGTTCAGCTCACTGCTAAATCTTATGTGTCGACCTTTCGATTGGTTATGCTGTTTATGCTAAACTTTGGTATTTGAAGAGTTCATATTTAAAATTGGCTAACAGCAACGCAACTCTTCCACTGCCTTTGTTGATGTTTTATCTCCATAAATAAAACAACCCTTATTGTATTATGCCATGTTGTGGAGTTGCTAATGCTAATGTTAGCTTCTAGCTACTTGCCAAGACACTCTCAGCCTCCACGACCATGAAATAGGTGTGTGTGTGTGTGTGTATGTGCAGATTTTTACCTGGTGGACTTCTTCTTCCAGCTCTTGGAGAGTTCAGACGCTTTTTTCCTCCTCTCCTCCCTATCTTATCCCAAGGCTCTTTGCCTGTCTTTGGGTGCACTGCGCTTCTCTGGATTTTTTCTGGAAACTGGAAATGATAAAAAATGAACCTGGTCAGTTGGTCTCTCAATGCGATGGACAAAATTTTTTCAATGATGAGAACGGGAGAAGGGGCTCCTGGCTGTCCCTCTGGGACAGAGCCAGCTGGGTATATCATGGACTCCTGAAAACAGTGGAACCTGATCTGCCTGTCTCAACTGTCTGTAGAGGATACTGAAGATGTCTGGATATTTGTGGTTTTGGTGTCAGGTTTTCTGCTTTTTGGCCTTGGAGGTTACCTGACTTACTGGAAAATTAAGAGCTGTCGAGGAATATTGGCTCAATCCCGGAGCTCAGGGATGGATTACACCGCACTGTGAACGCACAAACTCATATTATTGTCGAGATGAGTCGTAAGGTTGGAACTTTGGCTGAGATTCAGACTCTGGCACAGAAGGTGTATTCGATCAAGGAGCGAGTTGACGAATCAGTGCGGATTGGAATAGACTAATTACGCCATTATTGGATTGAGAGGGGTTGAGGACCAACGGAACTTTAAAACAGAGAGGAAATTTTCTCTGTCTGGCCCCAAAACAAGTTCTTATCTGAATCTGGTGCCCTTGAGCCTGTGAGGCTGAAGTGATTACTCCTCCTCAGAAGAAATGTGGAATGCTGCCGTCGCCATGACAACTCTGTCTCCCTAACGGAGGTGACAAGCGCTGCTTATCCTGGCTGCATGCACTGATGTGAGGAGAGTCCCCAACCCTACCTCCCCACCTAGTGGACACTTATGTTATGTGGTGTCTGAAGTCTGTTGCATATCTGTCTGATGTGTTTTTTGCATAGCAAAGCTGCCCTCCCTGTAGAGGTTAACTCTGAAGTACCTTCTTTTTCCTCCACCTGACTCAATCCTCATGTAACCCTCTGATCTCTATTAAGGTAGCGGGACTCGGGTTGCGAATGACCACACTCACCAATTCTTGTCATGTGTCTATGTATGAATGTCTGATCTCAGAATTGTGTGTACTGAAACTCTAATTTCCCTCTGGGATTAATAAAATATATTTGAATTGAATTGAGTGGGGCTTCGGAGTGGGTTCTGGAAGGTTTTACCTGAGCTGCTGTGCAGCAGAACGTGTGTCTAATGTTTGCATGTGTGTGTCACAAGCCAGTGTACCAAATTCTGCAACCATCACCGTTGCATTTTTTTAAATGCAGCTATCTAGAACAACTTTAGCAATAATACATACTGCTCCTTTAGTGCCTACATCTACTTTTATTGTGTGGCTCTGTAACAATAGCACTCTTTCCACCTGTAACGCCGCCACCAGGGGACAACACACCCGTATAGTAATCCTGAGAATTCACCTGGATGCTTTAAGGCCAGAAGTGGTTTAAGTAAAACCAGTGGCGGAATTAGCAATTTGGGGGCCCAAGGCGAACACAGACATGGGGCCCCCCTTTGTCACGGCGGGGAACACCAGAATAAATCCAGATGCAGGAGGCAGAGAGAACCCGGTTTAGATCCAGAGATTTAATAACACAAAATCACCGCACCAGTGGGAAACTCAGAAGGTCACTCGCAGAGGAATCACAGCAGTACATCCACAGGCTCTAAACAGACTATTTAGTATAACGCCACGCTGAGCACTGGACCCAGCTGCTTAAATAAGAGTGGTGGCAATCTAGGAAATTGCAGTCAGCTGCGACACTCCAAGTGCTCCACAGAGGGGCGGGACACTCAGGAGCCACGGCCGACCTGCACAGAACTAGAAACACAACTCTTAACACAGAAACAAGCAAAGGGAGAACACATAATATACAAATAAAACAACCAGAAGGAGCAGCCCATAACACCCTTACACTAAATTTTCAGCAATCTTATCTAACTCCACCCTCTTCTGACATGAGTTATTTTCACTTTTTATTAGTCCTCCTCTTTTTCTGTCTTTCCCTTTGAGTGCTCTCTTCTTCCTATCAGTGCTTCTGCCTTTCTTTTTTTTTCTCTTCAATTTTCCATTTTGGTCCATGTTTTCCTCCCTTTAAACATTTTCCATTGTCGTTCCTTTCTGCTTCCTTTGATGTTTACATAGAAAAACGACGTCACTTTCAGAAGCCAAGATAAAAGCTTTTTTAAAGCGAGCTGCTCCTTTCTCTTATTGAAGCCACTAGGAAACTCTATTTCATGCTTCATGTTTTGACTCCCGCTTTGAGTTTGTTACGAACACTCCCGCCTCTCTTCTTCTTCTTGGTTGTGGTCTTATGGCACTTGGCAAACAACAATTTGGTGCATTACTGCCACCAACTGGATTTGTGTGGAATGACTACAAATCACTTCCTGTTTGTGTATCGGCATCTTAAAGGAATAGTCCATTGTGGCATTAACCATCGACATATAAATATTGTACAATGGGTTTCCATAGGCTCCAATAACACGTTTTTGAGCTAAAATGGGAGGTGGCCACCACCGCCATTTTGACCGTGTCACAGGTTCCGTCAAGCCCAGACAATTCCATAAAAGGGAAGAGAGGTGGAGCTGAGGGTGGGGCTGTAAGGCTGGGATAAACTGACAACACCCGTTAGAACTAGCTACAAGCTAACCTGAAGCTAACCCAAAGCTAACGCGGAGGTGGGAGCTAAGCTAATGGAGGTAGCAACCTAGCTACAACCGGAGTTAACTGTGCACAACACCAGAGCTTCTGAGTCAGAGATACGCCGGGCTGACCGCTGGGTAAAACCGGGTGGAACACAGAGGTCTCCGAGAGCTCCACAAGCCGGCAGCCGCACAGCAGACAAGCGCCGCTGCGATCTGAGATGCGCAGAGTTGCCGCTCGGGAGAATCGGGTGGAAAGGTTTCCATCCGAGACCTCCACAAGCCGGCAGCCCGCGCAGCACACAGAAGCCGTGATCAGACAGAGATGCGCCGAGCTGCGGGGAGGGGAAAACCGGGAGGAAAACATCGGTCTCCCGAGAGCTCCACAAGCCGATAGTAGGAACCCAGCTCCACCAACATGTTATATTTCAACCCATTTTCTAAAGTGCAGCATTATGTTAAATGCACTGGGTTTTACCCTATTACATTTAAATTTCATGGTTAAACAGTACATGTTAAAATCTAAGCTCAGCTCGGCAGTGACCTAAAATACATAAATATAATTTTACTTACAGAAAAAAATGAAGTGGAGACTCCTTGGACGCTCTATTAGTGCAATTAATGCCACAGCAAGTCATTTTGTCCAACAATTGCACAAAAAATATCCAAACAAGAATACACAAACACAGAGACTCAAAATCCCGGAGCAGTTTTTAGACGAGGCCGAGGCTCTACTGAGGCCTTTCCACGGAGCTAGCTCTGCGGTCACGTGGGTCTGATGCTCATTAATTATACAGAATTTTAGGCTTTTAATACACTTAAACAGAAGAGTGAGAACCCCCCCCCCCCCCCCCCCCCCCCCCTCAGAGTTGTCATGAGTGTAAACTAGATCATTTAAACCAAAAACATGTTTTGGTACCAGGCTGTAAACATGTTTATTTCTGCTGTGAAATTGGTATTTTTAACATGGGAGTCAATGAGGATTTGCTCGCTTCTGACACCAGCCCCTAGTGGATGCGGGTGGAACTGCAATATTTGGTACTTCCGGGTTGACTTCAATTTTTGAGCCGCATTGTGGGGGCTTGGCATTAACAGAGCCCCCCCCCCCCCCCCCCCCCCCCATCCCAATATAAGGGGGCCCCAGGCGGCCACCCTAATGGTAATACCGCCACTGAGTAAAAGAAGAGAGGCACCCAAAAATAACCAGCTGGTGATCAGGTTTGGCCAATATGCCATTTTGTTTTTGAACAAATGATTAAAATATTGAAATTTGATTGTTTTTACTTTAAAAAGTATTCTGTTTCTCGTGGTTTTACTTTGAGATAAACCCAAATCTAAATCGACGGGTAAGAGCTGTTGAAGAATCTGAGATTTGCAACGGCCTTCAGATCCAGAATGGCTGCATCTCTAATGAAAACACTTTCCATGCAATAACAACTCCTGCCGACAGATTGGTCTGAACGTTTTCTGCTGATGCTGCTGATACGCTCGTCTCTCTGCTGAAGATGTTCTGCTGGAAACGAGACGAACAGGATGAAAGGTGTCAGCAGGTAACAGGAAGCAGATCTGCTGATAAGTTCACACAACATCTCATTCACTGACAGTCTGGAAATCTCTTAAGGAGCTGTGAAAACGTCCCCAAGCTGCTCGGAGGGCAGGAACTTTGTGTTTGCACACGCCGGCTTCGGCGGATGAGTTTCTTCTTGTTCATCTGCACGACGCTGCCTGTGTGTGACGTTCACGTGTTGAAACCATTTCTGTGTCTGTCCGTTCAGCCTGTCACTGCAACCTGCACGCCCGTCGCTGTCGTTTCAACATGGAGCTGTACAAGCTGTCGGGCCGAAGGAGCGGCGGAGTCTGCCTGAACTGTCGACACAACACAGCAGGACGCCACTGCCACTACTGCAAGGAGGGCTACTACAGGGACATGACCAAGTCCATTTCTCACCGCAGAGCGTGCAAAGGTAAGCCGTGTTACTGAGGCTGGATTCTAACTACAGACCCCCTAGGTAAGAGTTAGCTTTAGTTTGCAGGGATGAAAATGTAAACCAATCAGGTGTTTCTGATAAACCAGCCAACTGATACTTTTCAGGGGATGATTTAAGTCAGGGTTTCTCAACGGGGGCTGTAGCGCCCCCCAGTGGGCATTCAGACTATATAAGGGGGCGGTGAAGGTTTTTTGCCACTGAAGGGGGCGCTGAGATGCTAATGGTGGGCGCTAGCGATACAGGACATTCATAACAGACAATGGCTCAGAATAAAAAGAAGTGTTGACAGTACAATGTGGACTCGGTATGGATGTATTCCTTCACCCACGAATCCACAACTCCCCATGTGCCTGCTTTGTGAACAAGTTTTTTCAAACAAAGCAATGAAACCCTCCCGGCTTAAGGAGCATTAGAGGTAGCATTAGCAGTATGTTTGCGCGAAGCTCGAAGTTACTGGACCGAGGATTATTAGCTTCCTACAATATCTCATTGCTAATAGCTAAAAACATTTTTTTATTATACTTTTTTATGACATATTTGTATTAAACAGTTTCAAACTCTAGGCTGAATTTATTTATTAATTTTTTTATTATGATTTTTGTATCAAAAAACTTTCCGTTTCTCTTTCATTGGTGGGGAGTAAGGGATCTCAGCATGGCAGGGGGGCGTTTAGCTGAAAAAGGTTGAGAAACCCTGATTTAAGTTCTTCTCTTAAGCTGAAAACTAAGGTCTCTTTGAATTACCTCAGCTCAGAGACAAAAGACAGATGGAATAAACAAATATCAGGATTCATTTGGAAAAGCAAAAAACCAAGAATTAGAAAATCTACCCTACAACTAGCAAAGGAACAAGGAGGGAGGGCTGTGCCAAACATAGCATAGCATAGCATAGCATAGTTTATTTATATAGCATGTTTAAAATGCAGCATGGGAGCTGCCCAAAGTGCTGCACAGGCTAACACAAAACACAACCATTACAAGGAGCTAAAACAAAGGATAAAATTCTCAATCAAAAGCAGATAAAACATGATGAATACTAAGAACACAATTAAAACAATGATCCAATAAAACACTAAAACGAGTCACTGTCTGAAAGCCAAAGTGTAAAAGTGGGTCTTTAAACGAGATTTAAAAACCGCCAGAGATGGAGCCTGCCGAACTCCAATGGGCAATGAGTTCCATAGCTTTGGGGCAGCATGCACAAATGCTCGATCCCCCAGCGATTTTAGTCTCATCCGCGGCGTGTGCAGCAGCAAAAGGTCAGCCGACCTCAACGTGCGACTGGTGCTACCACACAGCGCAAATTGGACCACTCATAGATTGGTGTGACCCACAAAACTTAAACCACTGGAAAACAATAGAGACCGAAGGAAAAGAAATACCAATCCAAACATTACTGGGGGGAAAATACCATAAATGAATATTGGACAAAAACTATAGAAAAATTAGACCCAATATCAAAGTTTAGCTTGGAAACCTGGTGGAAGATAAGCAAGAAACTAAAAATAGACAGAGAAATAAGATTACTAAGATGGATAGGTTGGGACTCGGACTTTGAACCGGGAAAGATGGACAATAGATTCAAAACATGGAACGAGACAGGAATGACAGCAATAGGAACAATTCAGAAAAAAGGGGTGCTAAACAGTTTCCAAATTTGAAGTGGAAAATAAGGATATGTTTAGATATCTACAACTAAGAGACTACTATACCAACTGAATTCAACATTAAATTCAAGGGAATGATCAAATAATAACAATGATGATTCAAACATATACAAAACCAGCACCCAAAAGAACACTATCCTTAATATATAAAACATTAATAACTATAGAAAACCAATCAACGCAATATATCAAAGAAAATGGGCAAAAGAAATTAAGGAAGAAATACTGGAAGGGGAATGGAATGAGATGTGGGAAACACAAAATAGGACAACACAATCACAAAAATGTAGGGAATTTGCCTGCCAGAACCAAATAAGATACTTTATCACACCTAAAATTACAAGTAAAAAAATACAGAAACAAATGAGCTGTTGGAGGAATTGTGGAAATATAAACCCCAACCATACCCATATATTCTGGGAATGCAAGAGAATAAAACCTTTTTGGAACCAAATATACAAGAACACTAAAATAATATTAGGATATGTTCCACAGACATTTACATTCATGTACTTAGGATCCATACGGGAAGAAATAGCGAAGGGAGATCAATACCTAATGAGGATACTTATAATAGCAGCCAAGAATGCAATCACTAGGAAATGGCTCAGACCGGAGACCCCAACAATAGAAGAATGGAGGACAATAGTTGAAGAAATACAGGAAATGGAGACACTGACCTACAGCCTAAGACTGAAAGAGGAACAAATGCAAAAACAATGGGCTAAATGGAGACGTAATAAGCATATGGATATGAGAAAATAAATGGCAAGGAGAAACCAGCAGATGAGCCGACCTTTATTTATTTAAATTTATTATTTATATAATATTTTGTGGCATGTGGCGGCGATGCTGAACACTAGCATGGCTGATTGTCTAGACTTAGCCCGGAACAAGTGCTTCTCTGCAGAGAGGTTCTGGAGTGGAGGTCTGGTTCACAGGGGAAGACAAAATGCAGATTTCCCTGTGATTACCATACTGACTCATGATGATCTTAACAGATAATCCTGCCATGTGTGGTGCGTTGCAAGCGCTCTGGTTATCCAGGCATATTAATATTTTCTTGGTCTGATTTGGATGCCAGCTGCCTTTTGATTGTGAGACACTTTGTTCAACCAAGCATGGAAAATAAGAGGAAACATCTAAAGTGACTCCCAGCAGAGCTGCTTGCTAGAATATTCTATTTAAATCCATCTGTTCCAACTTTTAATGCTTTATCTGAGACAAAATGACCCTCTGGAAAAACAAGCTCATTGCTGCTTCACTTTTTTTCTCCAACTTCTTTTTTATTGGCTTTACTTCTCAGACCTGGAGGCTATAATTCATATAAAATATATGATTCAAACTGACACCTGCAGAAAAAATAGCAGAAGCAAAGATTTTACCCATAGATTAAAAGAAGAATAATCATCAAGTGATTTTTAACAGAAAACAAATGTGGTCAAAATAAAAACTTTCTGTCCCTCCAGAGCTTTCTTTGAATGTTTGCATTAGACAACAAATCCACATTCAGCCTCCAATGAAATCAACTTTATTCTTAAAGGGGCGTTACGGAAGTTTCACAGCCAAAACATGTATAGAAATAATAAATTTCTTCTTCATACATTCTCCTGCAATGCCCTGGTCCTGTAGAATGAGCCCTGGCATTTTTACTGTGATTGCCTGTTTTTCTTTAAAATCACAGAAAAAGAGAGATGCTCGGGTCGAGCAGGCTGCTTCATGCGTGTTCACGCTCAGGCATCGCCCGTAGCATTTGCTATCAGTAGCTTTAGCAGCAGAGAGAGAGGCAGTGCCACTTTGTCGCTGTTCCTAACGCCTAGTGACAAAGCTAGCTACATTTCTGAGGACCCTTAGCTACTTTCTGTAGAACTTTCTTCTAGATATTTCCTGCAAATTAGCAACAAAATAGCCATTTTCGCTCCGAACCGTTCTTTGGTTTGACGTTGTTTCAGCTGTCATCAAGGATATAAAATTACAGATACATCAAATGTTACTGGCGCTTTAGCTCACCTAGTAAGATGTCTGACTCCCATGCAGAAGACCTGGGTTTGATTCTGGATGTGAACATAGTTTATTTAGATGTGGGTTCAACTTTCATTTTGGAACAATTTTTCAAGCAAGGGAAGGGAATGATCTGAGCATGCAGGAGGACTGACCCATCATAAACCTTTGTCGGCTGTGCTGAAGAGAAAGGTACAGAACCAAATTATTTAATTAATTAGCTGCACGTTCTCCCATTCTCCGACACACACACACACACACACACACACACACACACACACACACACACACACACACACACACACACACACACACACACAAGGGACTGTCTCAGCTGTTATTTTCGTTAAGGAGTGTGCACGTACAGCATGCGCGCCTCGTGCACGAGCCTACTATTGAAGCTGCTGTTACGCTTTTGGCCTGAGGGGGCAATCACGAGCACAAAAATTCAAAAGTCCATAAAGTCCCTTTAAAACATCTCAGACTTTATTCCAACAAGGGTTCTGTGGTTCGTGCAAAAAGATTTTAGGAGCATCTCGTTATGTTCACAAAGACATTCCAGCTGAAATCACCTCCAGCGTCCACCAGACCACTTCAAGCACATTTCATACGACTCTATAACACACACACACGCACACACACACACGCCCAATAGAGAGGCTGGGCTTCAACTTCAAACACCGGCTTTATGGTAAAAAAAATTGGCAGAACACACACTCGGACACACTCACACAACAAATTTCTCACATTTTACACGTGATCCTCCCAAATAACAGCCCAAACAGACTTTGAAGTGCGCTCCGCTCGTCCGTTAATGGGAAACATTATTCAGGCGGTGTTTGTGAGAAGCTTCCTGCCAAAAAAGCTTTACGTTGGAAACTCAATCTGAAACGCAGACAGCCAGTCTGATCTCACACACACACACACACACAAACACACACACACACACACACACACACACACACACACACACACACACACACACACACACACACACACACAGTTAGTGGTGAAAGTGAAATTGTGTAATTTATCGAGTTATTTGCTCCTGCCAGAACGCGCCTAATGAAGAACGGTACAGTCAGAATGGGTGGAGGAGAGAAGTCTAATTTGATTGAGGTTTTACGCTGGTGCAAGGCCCAGTTTGCCATGTGTGAATGAACAGAGGCAGCTCCCATGCAGAAGACTTCTCCTGACTTATAGAATGTAAAGACTGTTAAGAGTCTGCGAGTCTGGACCAGACTGCACAGACTCTAGTCATTTGTAACTGGATCCTTGTTTTGTTTTAGTTTTATGAGCCCCTCATGGGCTTGTTTACCAATCTAAAGGTTGTTTACTTGTGTTCCATGTTTTCCTCGTGTCTCTGCAGCCTGTGACTGCCACCCAGTCGGAGCAGCAGGGAAGACGTGCAACCAGACAACAGGCCAGTGCCCCTGTAAGGACGGTGTGACCGGGATCACCTGCAACCGCTGTGCCAAGGGATACCAGCAGAGCCGCTCCCCCATAGCTCCCTGCATCAGTAAGGAGAAATCTACTATAAGTTCCTGTGTTTATGATATGTTTAGTTGGAGGTGATTGTTTTGGCAACAAATGACTGCTTGGGCGACCTGTTCACGGTAACAGTTCGTTATTGTTATGGTGGTGTCATCTGCATATTTGAGAATGGAGACTGAGCTATGAGTAGATGTGAGGGTATCTGTGTGGATGGAGAAAAGCCAAGGGGTGAGAACACAGCCCTGAGGGATACCCATGCTGAGGGTCAGAGGTTGTGACAGGAGGCCACCCATTCTGACTCTCTGGGGGTTCCAGGTGTTGCATGATGTAGTGAATGGCCAGATTTATTGCATCTTCAACAGATTAGTTCGGTAAGCAAACTGGTGATCATCCATGGACAGGGAGGTGAGTTCTTTCAGGTGTGTCAGTGTGATGTGTTCTGGAGATTTCATTATAACAGATGTGAGAGCTAGAGGCCTGTAGTCGTTGGAAGTTGGTATTTTGTTTGATTTGGCGATCGTGATGATAACCGAATCATTAAACACTTAGGAACCACACTGACTGAGAGAACTGCTGACGATGAAGGTGAAGAAGTATGTTGTGTCGGCTGGCCTTTGATCTTTAGCATGTAGCTAAGTCCTGATGTTGAGCCAACGCAGGGCCTCTGGACATGTTGGATCAAGGTCCTCCAGATGTGTGTGTGTGTGTGGTTGGGGGGGGGGGGGAGAGACGTTAGAATCCCACTGTGATGCAGAATGTATTGTAGATCCGTTCTGCCAGCTCCTCAGCAAGGAAAGCTCCTATTGGCTGCTCAAAAAGTCGATAAATTGCGTAACAGTGACACACACACACAGAGTTAGAACAAGTGTGTGTTTGTGTCACACTGATGTAACATCAAGAAAAGTTGCTAAATTTGTCGCTAGACATTAATTAGAAAACGAGTTGGTAGAGAGATCTAAAATAGCAGCAAAGCCTCTAATTTGGCATCACTGGTAAAGACAACGATGTATTTACTGGCTAGTTATCCCGCCAAAACCCTGAGGTTGAAGCTGTAACAATCAACACTCCCCCTAGTGGCCGGTTCCGGTACATTTTAAGGTCCAATCCCATAAACAGCCAGGATTTCCACCCCACAACCCGAGTGCTCGGACTCTGGTTCCCAAAATGCATTTTTGGTTTTTTTGGTTTGGTTTCAACCTCTGAGTTCCAGTCAGACATTGGATTTATGACACGAAGTATTTATTCTGTGAAATTTTGTATTTGAACTTTTATACAGCAGCAAAAATGTCAGCTGTGAACATTCAACACCTGAAATTCAAAAACAACTGAGGTGACCTCCTGATGATCGTCACTTGATCGAGTTGAGTGACTTTTAGCCAATCAAAATATACTTCTCTGATCATGTGACACCAGTGAAGTGTTGACTCGATCGAGTGACGGTTGCTTTAGCTTGGGTCACCTGGAGGTCAGAATAAATACCCAATGTCATAAATTCAATGTCTAAAACAAGTCATGTTCTGGTGAGACCGTCTTTCTTCCATAGATGTATTAAGGTCAGCGTTATACCTGTGATGGAGGTTTTCCAACTTTGCGCAGGTACAGCCAAGCTCTAAAGGTTTTGTGGTTCTCGAACAGCGCAGCGAGGTCAGCTTCACCTAGAATCATTTTGTCATTGAACCTCAATCCATTAATGTTACCGAATTATCTACAAGTGATTGCCAATCAGACACTTTTACCCTCTTCTAGATAATAAACTTAAAGCTGTGATATTTTAGATACAGCCCGTTGAACCAAGTACCTCACAAACAGCACCTGAACGTGCTCATTATGAATAAACTCAACTCAAACTCAACTGCCACCATTTTGAACAGATATTCGGCCGTTTAACGCCATGTCTGGATAAGCAGACCATCACTAGCGTGACCCCGTTTACCTCCAGTGCCGTTAACAATCCGCCTCGTGATAAATCTCCTAAATGGGAACGGTGGCTAATATATTTATTGGCTCTATCTACCGCCTGCAGATTCCAGACCCTCTGCAATAAACGCATCTGAGGAGCCGGGATGGTCACTAGAAGCTGCTTCAGCCGGGAGCATCAAGTATCCGGCTGGCGTGAGCAGATAAGATAACAGGGCTGTGTACACGTTAGCGATTGTCCACGGTGCCGCTGTGTCACATTTCTGATAACTTCATTTGTGGACACCTGGACATGCTTCATGTGCCGAGAATCAGAGCAACACGTTTGACCACAGTTTCAACCCCTGAACCTGCTGGAACGGGATTTCTCTCCTTTTCTTTGGGTGGAAAATGGTGCAAATGATGCATTTGGTTTCTCGTATATTTTTCACATGACGATCTTTTGCTTCTAATGGTGCTTTATTAAAGTTTTGTGACATCCAACAGCCTGCAGCTTTGAATTTAACGAGACCAGCGGTGTTGGCTTTCTGTAGCTGCAGGATGTTAACGGGAAACCTACAGACAAACGTCATCTGCATAAAAGATGAAATTCTGCTCCTAAAACCGGAGCGCTTACATTCATTCAAAACCTAAAGACTTGGTTTATTCCCATCATTTAGTGCATTTGTGTTCCTTGTTTCTTCGCAGAAATCCCAGTTGTGTCCCCAACATCTACTTACAGCAGCTACGAGGAGCCGTCAGGTGAGTTTCCGTTTCATCAGTCCGGGAAAATTGTGAATCTCCTTTTTGTTCCTTTTTTGGTAAAACGATCCTCGTTGTGGATGCACAGATAAAATAAACTCACCGTCCTTGTGTGGAAGCACGGCTTGAGTCTGTTTTTACTGAACTCGGTGAGATCAGACTGATGGAAACTCCAGATATGTTGCCAGTGCTCCCTGCGGCCTCATCGCCTGTATTCCCGGCCTGCCCTGCAGCCTCCCCACAGTTTCAGCCCTAATCTGATTACACGCTTCATTTGCACCAGTTTGTATTTCAATCAAAGCCCGCTGTGCCAGCAGCGAAGCCCTGCCGGACTGTGTTCCGACAAGAGTCGCCGTCTCAGACTGCTGACATCAAATGCTCTGATAAACAGCATTTACTGTGTGTGAACTGGTTTCTCTGTCTGTTTTTTAACAAGGTGTGACTGCGATCCTGGCCTGTTTGAATAGACCGAGTCAACTCTGGTCATCGATCAGTGTCTGACGAGAGCGGCGCCACTGACTTCACCGAGCTTTGTTTCGAGTCCCACTTCCTGCTAAAGTGACTGTGGAGAAGTTTGGATTTCTGTCAGAAACTCCAAACAGACACCACCCTCCAAATTAGGCACAGCGTGGTCCCTGGGGGACCCAGCAGAATGAACGCGGCACATAAAGGAGGCGTTTGTCGTCGCAGCAGGAGATTGGACCTTAATGAGCACCGCCGGTGTGATGGGTCACATCAGACAATGAGCTAAGAGGCTAATGGGCAATGTCAGCTATCAAAGGGAAGCATGATGAAGGCCCCTGGGGCAGATAAAGAGCCCCCACCCTCATTTCACCACTTCATTTACATGGAAATCCAGCATCCTCGATATGGACTTGTCAGATTCATTTACTTTAGGATTTCCTCTTTTCTCTTTTTTCTGCCCAGAAAACGAGTCGAGCATTCCAGCAGAAACGCTTCGATCCTCGTCTCACGTCCCAAACCACTTTCTCTCTCCCTCTCTCTTTTTTGTATGAGAGAGGAGAGGGGCCTTTTTTTCTTCCTCTATCATTACCTAGGCAACCTCATTCACACGGAGCACAATGGGGAAGAAAGGGAAAGACTGGACAGAGAGCTGGAAGAAATAATGAAGTTTGTCCATATTCAGGCTAGCTGAAAGGCACCCCCCCTCTCTCTTCAGACTGCCCAGCCCAGTTTTCCCACCCCCACCACCCAGTGAAAAAAGTGCACCAGTCTTATTGCTCTGGGAGAGACCATGTGGGGGTGTATTCAGGGATGGTCTGCTTCCATTTTGGGTCAGTCAGTAGGAAGTGGAGGGGATGAATGATTTAAAGGTTCGGTTTGGCCCCAGGTCCCACTATCAGCCTCCAGGTTACAAAAGGTACCTGGCAAGGTGGCGGTATGACATCAAATATGTCGACGAAGTTCTCAGGTACACAAGCGCTGGTGAAAAGAGGCAACCTTCTCACAGGATGCTGACCTTGCTGGGATAGTCTTTGCACTGTCTTCAGTTGCGTATTAAAGATTAAACTCCCACTAGTCATCACACATTGTTGAAATTTGTTCTCCACATCCGACCCATCCCCTGGGGGAGCAGTGAGCTGCAGAACCGGCCACGCTCAGGAGCCATTTAGTGGTTTAACCCCCCAACTGAACACTTTTAATGGTGAGAAGGCATTGGGTCCCATTTTTAAGATCTCCCAGTCTCAGGGCACACACTCATACCACTAGGCCACCGAGCTAGGATTTCCCAAATGGGAGCGTGGTGAGCTGGGACTGAAAGACACCAGCTTACGTTGTTGAGAATTTGAAGGACTGTCCAGCCTGACCTCCATCACAAACTCACCATCAGTGCTACGTTGGTGTAGCGCATGCATCCTGACAAGGTCCAGGAGAGTCATGCTATGACGGGGCTCAGAACACAACGGGATTATGGGAGTTTGTGTTGATATTGTCTTGGAAACATGAGGGTGACATATAAAGTGTGGCGAGATGAAAGGAGAATGTGTCAACGTGCAGAAAATGAATGCAAAGTTGTATCTGACAATCCCAAGCCTGGCAGTGAGGATCCTGCACGCCAGCCACTGCTAGGCTGCATCCGCTGTACACAAATCCCAAACAGCATTCTTGAGGGAGTTTACAAAATGTCTCGAAATGCACGCAAAGTTTTCTCGATTTCCACGCCGAAGCAGAACGCCTCGCTCTTAAGCTGTGTGAGTTTTGAATGTGTCCACAAAAGTCTGCATAAACCATTTTCTCTCAGAGTTGTTGCAACGTAGTTGTGGGTGCCTGACATCTGTCTGAAACGAGTCAGGAAGTGTGAGAAATGTGGGACAACTTTGGGAGGGGTTGGTGACTAAATTCAGAATAAAATGAGTGTGAATTACTGATGAGTGGAGATACTTTGTGACTTCATGGCAACTGTAAAACTTGCCTGACTGACTCAGTTTGTAAATACGTCACATGTCCCAGGCATACATATAAAAGCTTACATGTACAATGGGATGCAAATGAACTGTTAACTTCATGAATTTCCTGTATAAATCGTTGGTTGATACAATAAAAAAATTCTGTTAAATATATCATATAGGAGACACACTCAGTGATGTTTGAGAAGTGAAATTAAATGTTAAAGAAAACTTCCACACCCCACCGTACTAGTTCATCATGATTTCAATGGAAAATCCGCTCATTCTCTCCTTTTTTCGTGTCTCCGACGAGTCGCTAACAACCACAATCCACTTGCACATCTTTGACCTCTTCTTCCTCCATCACCATGCGTACTTAGGGCAATTACTTTCTCACAGCCAGGAGCTTACAGAGTTATAATATCTGGTCATTCTGTCACCAATTTTCACCTCCGTGACCTTCTTTTATGGAGGCGTGACCTCAGTAGCTCACCAGACGCTGACAAGGGAGCAGGCAGGAATGGAAAACCCAGGAGGCGCATAGCGGGAGCGTGCTGACAGACACAGGGGGATCTGTGTGAGCTTTCATCTCTGTCACAGTGGAGGCATCTTTTAGAGCCCTGGGGGTGCAAATAGTGTGAAACACATGTCAAGTTGGTCCAGCTGGAGGATGAAACTGAACCACGGTGAACGGTACGTGACCGGCTTTCATGTTTCTCTCTCTCGTTTCTCTTAGACTGTGAATCTCACTGTAAAGCCTCTAAGGAGAAAATGAAGATCACCATGAAGAAGTACTGCAAGAAAGACTACGGTGAGTACAAGTCAAATGTCTCAGTGCATCAGAGGGTTAGGGTCCGTGGCCTGCAGCTGTTTTCCTAGTTCCAGTGATGGCTTACTCAAACAAAGCCATGTCCACCAGGCCTGAATGGTCTAAAAATAAGTTCATGCTATCTGATGTGGGCTTCCATGAACACAAAGCTAATGTTTCCTGCCTTTGAAAGTAAGAAGGAGGATAGTTTTCAAGTATAGGCCAGGGAAATACGACTTTTAAGAATTACAAACAGCACTTGTATTTGTTTATTTGTAGGCTGATCTGATCTGTTTTCTGAGCCTTACTTCCCTCTCTTATCTCCAACGAGGATGCACGAGAGACTCTGTGGAAGATCTTGATGCAAATAATATCCGTATCAGTAAAGATTGTGCAGTTACGCCACATGAGTATGGTAAAACATTCAGCACACAGCCTGCAGGTGTTTGTAAGGAAGTCAGCATTCAAAAGTAAGAGTTATGTGAAGATTCATAATGAGAATGCACACATGTTTCAATAGCAGTGTTTTTTTAGTAAGACTTAAATTAAAAGTGTTTACAGAGTTAGACAAAAACATTGTAATAGCTACACTTAAACTTCAACAGCTTTAAAGTGCTCTAAAACGATCAGCTGCTGCCATTAATTAGCCATAAATGGGAATGTTACTACAGCGCCCCCAGTGGCAACTCAGGGATAAAGCAACATCACTCAACAGAAAAATGTAAAAGAATAAAAATCAAATTTGGATAATTACAAGCAAAATGTAGCTGTAGCACTTTGACACAGAGGGGATAAATGAAAACTATTTCTTTATGTTTTCACTACAAGCTAGCGTTAGCTCCATGTTTTCGTTCTTTAACGTAGCGTCAGTAACAGGTAACAAAACCGTTTCTGTGTTTTAAAAAAGAATGACAACATGGAATTAGAAATAACGCACAGCAAGAACACACCTAAGAAGCTAGCGTTAGCATTGTGCAATAGGTTGCTACCGCGGGAAACTAGAGTCACACAAGCACTTGTAAAATACGTAAAGGCTTACGGTCACATGTAGCAGCTATAGTCAGCTAACATATAAAGTTTGTTTTTCCGTTTTCAACATTGACGTTAGCTAGAAGCTTGTTTTAGTTTTAGTAAATAACTGTATTTTTTTTCTAACTGAACTACTTATTGACTAATGATACCATCATCACATTTTATTTTTCTTTTGTAATTCTATAAGAATACGCAGTAAAAAAAAAAGTTAAAATGTGGCCTTGCCACCTGTACATCTACCACCAGAGGGCAGCAGACATGTACAAGACTGGATATGGCAGCTTTATGATGAAGGTACTAATCCTGTTACTCTGGAAGCATTAAGGCAACGAATTGGTTCACGAGAATGAGAGAAAACAGTCCACAAGGAATTCAGTGTATACAACAAATATTTAATTTAAAAATCGAAAGAATACCTGACACTTTAAAGGGGAATTGGGCAGTTTTGGCTTGCTTTTAGCACCCCCTAGTGTCCATTTGTAGAGCTGAAACCAAAACCTATCTCGTCGCTGTGCGTTTGTCTTTTTAACACCTTAATCTAACAGCTGAAATGTCCGCCAGCCTTCATTAGTGTCTACAAGAGGGATTCATCACCAAATTAAACCAATCAGCTGCGTTAATGATCTAAAGCATGCAGCAACCGTGCTGGAGCCAGACTGCAGCGCCAAACACATCAGCTCCATTTTTTCCAAGTCCCAACAGAGCGCCCCACCACTCTGCAGTTGCAAGTGGAACATTCTGGTCACAGGGACAATAGGGGCTGAGTGGCCTTTCAATAACCCTGTAAAGAGTCATTTTAGCTCATACTGGCTCAAGAATCAATTTCCCTCTGGGATTAATAAAGTATTTCTGAATTGAATTGAATTGAAAATGATTTAAAAATATGAAAAAGTTGCAAAGTATCCCTTTAAGAATTAACACGCTTAGATGATGCTAAGAGCTCCTGACTAAAATAAGACTTACAGCTAAATCCAGTAGAAGCACTAATACATAAACAGGAATCTGCAAGGTAAAAACAACATACATTTATAAATCAACACCTGGAAAAAGGTGTCTGTCAGGAAAATGTCCCATTTGTTTACGTGGAATGGGCGGGGCTTAAAACTGGCACCGAAACCAACCACTAGGGCGGGGGTCGGCAACCTGCGGCTATGGAGCCGCATGCAGCTCTTCCATCCATCTGATGCGGCTCTCTGTGCTTGTAAAATAATGAATGGATATTTAAATAAAATGGTTTATATTTTACTGCATTAATTTTACATCTGTATGCCAATTCTAAATGTAAAGATTGTCTGCGTAAACCTGAAAAGTTCCAATCCGGTCTGACTTTGAGACCGGGTTGACGCGTCACGCTTGTGCGTAATCATAGGCGCTTTCTGAGCTGACGAGGATGTGAGATTCTGGGATTCTCCTCAGACGGCTCCTGAATGTGTCGCCACATTGGAGACAGGAACAAGTAGTTTCATCATCAGGGAACATTTTCTAAGTGACATGTCTCGCTTCAGTCGGAGGAATCATCCTGCATGCGCTCTGGTTCTGCGACGCGCTCCAAGCCCCTCTCCACCTCTTCAGCTCGCTGTGTACCGTACGTACACGCTGACAGCGAGCTGCGCTGAGCAGTGTCCAGCTCAGATGTTCAGATGGGAATCATTTCTTGAGTGATTTAGCTACATCTGCGATGTGCGTAACGAATAAAATGTCAGTTCGTCTGCATGCGTCGGGGTAATTCTTTCTATTCTTTCTCCGTCAAAATAAACGGTCAAATACGGGAACTGTCCGGTCAACTCAAGCCCTGCTTTTAACTGTTCTGTTTTCTTGTGAAAATTGTTGCAAAGTGATAAAATTAAACTTGATTAACACCAGAGCCAGGCGCACTGCGCCGTTATCTCCGTCACTGTAAATGAGGGAAAAACAAAATGATCGGATCCTTTTCTGACCTTCCCCACCTACAAAGTTTAATTACAACAATCAAACGTGACAGAGCCTGGATTTGTATTCTGAACAGTCTAAACATGTTTTAAAAAGAAACGTATGACAAAAGTGGCACCTGCTCAGTAAAACCACCAACAGGGTGAAAAATATCTAAATATTGTCGGCAGAGACGGGCTACAACTTCTGGATCCACTTTATATAAATAATTTTATTGATTATCGTCTTACGAAAGATAACTTTGACGTACACGAGCGACCGGTACTGGCTGCTGTCACCTGTTGTGATTGGTTAAAGCAGCTCTCTGCAGTTTGAGGGTAGGCCCCGCCCACAACGCCGCAGCTGCTGTGGCTCCCAGTGTTTTCTTTACTGTGGGAAACGGGTAATAATGGCTCTTTGATGGGAACAGGTTGCCGACCCCTGCACTAGGGGGATTTAGCTCCTATAGGTGTTGAACAGTTGGACACATGACCATTTCATGTAACACGATGTCTCCTTTTTATGTGTACACCACTTTTTAAACAAAGAAGAGAAAGCATTTAGTTTTGTCCAACAGTCGGTACCCGTGGGCCTCCCGTGATACGGAATCAGTGAACTTACATTTGGAGGAAGAGATGAAAGAGATTATAATTCTTAATAATCAGAAAATAAAGCTAAAGTTTCAGTTTTTTAATCTGCAGCTTGTAAAACAGAAAACGAGCGTGTGACTATGTACTTTTAATTCCGACATATTCGACCCAGCCAGGCCCGCCTGAGGCTTTTGGAAAAACTTTCAGGTGTTTTACAGCAAAATCCCAAAACTGATAAGAGAAGCCAAAACACACAGCCATCGAATCATTCTGTCAGATCACAGGCAGCAGCTGCATCACATCAGATGATGCCGTTCCAAGTAGATAAATATCTAAACCCTGATACCGCCAGTTGTGTCTCTAACAAAAAGCGGCAGTAGATGGAAGGAAAAGTCAGTTTGACGTTGATGTGAGTAGCGATGCTGGACTGTTGTGTGTCAGACAAAAAGAAACGCAGGACAGAGGAATAAAACCCAGACAAAATAAAAAAATACCAGTTTGAGTCTCGGACAGCAGGAGGGAATGTTTTTAACCGGTCCTGCACTTCCGTAAAAGTCTCATTACAACCAACACATATTATGCTGGCAAGTAAACAGGGTAGGTTTCAGCAGTTAATGACCACATTTTAAACAAAGATGCCATGAGCTGTGACTGACTCTAAGCTACCTTCGCACCGAATTTAAAGAGCAAGGCAACCCCTACCAGATTCTTACTCAACTCCCACTTCCTGTTTGAAAAATGCAACAAATGCTGTTGCCTGGCAGACCGAGAGGGCAGAGCTGCTAACAAATACGCACACACACAGGCTCACGACAGCATTGTGACATCATAATGTACCAGTTTACATCATAGCATACCTCTTAGCCAATAGCGGTGGCAGATTTAAATTAAAATACAGTGCAGAGTTTTTACCTGACAACGGCACAACACTGCCAGTTTTAGGCAGAATATTTAAATTTTAACTAAGATGCACTGAAGTGCCAAATTATTGACTACACGTGTCTACAGCACGATTAGACACTCGTTTATTTAGTTTATCAGCAAAAAAAGTTGATTTGGGGGTGACTTACTCTTTAAGACCAGTGTGCGTCCGACTGATTGATTTAAAGCTGCTACAGCAAATCTGGAAACCAAATATGTTTAACCCTTTAAGACTGGCGGGAGTGCCGACGCTCCCATTTGCATATCTGTGTTCAAATGCTTGTAAAACTGAAACTATATAAGATAGAACAACATTTTTTTGCATATTAAACCAGAGGAGTTACACTTATATCGCACACACTGAACACGTCCCAGAGCGCTGCGAATTTCCGCTAATGAGTTTGCAAAAAACAACCAAAATGCGCAAATAAGAAAAGCGTTTTCATTCAGACGCAGACCCTGTGGGTCTGGTCTGCTGCTCACAGGGCTTCACACGCTAGAATAAACGTTGTCACGTTGTCAACGTGAACTGTCACATGATTATCACTCACC